TAGCGGGGGAGGGGCAGAGAGAGAGAGGGGGAGAAAAAGAATCTTAAGCAGGCTCCATGCCCAGCGCAGAGCAATGGAGCTCGATGATCTCACACCCCTGAGATCATGAGCTGAGATGAAATCAAGAGTTGGAAGCTTAACTGCCTGAGCCACCCAGGAGCCCCTCAAATCCTTTATATTTTCAAACTCTTCTGCATCATTTCTCCCATCAATTCAGAGGGTTAAGTGATTGCTTACATATTTCCATCTTTGCCCTGAAGTATTGTTTTTCCTTGGATATAGCTAAATTAAATAAGACTTTTTAAGAGATTCATAACAAAATTAAAGAAGATTTGGAAGACTAACCTTAAAGGTTAATATTTGTCTTTCATTTTTCATAAACTTGAAGAATTTTTATTTTTTTAAATTTGTTTTTTTAAATTTTATTTGAATTCAATTAATTAACATATAGTGTATTATTAGTTTCAGAGGTAGAGTTCAGTGACTCATCAATTGCATATAACACCCAGTGCTCATTACATCATGTGCCCTCCTTAATGCCCATCACCCAGTTACCCCATCCCCCCACCCTCCTCCCTAACTGCAACCCTCAGTTTGTTTCCTATAGTTAAGTCTTGTATGGTTTGTCTCCCTCTCTGATTTTGCCTTATATTATTTCCCCCCTCCCTTCCCTTATGACCCTGTTTTATTTCTTAAGTTCCACATATGATTGAAATCATATGAAAATTTACTTTCTCTGATTTGACTTATTTCACTTAGCATAATACCCTCTAGTTCCATTCACGCCATTGCAAATGGTAAGATTTCATTTTTTGATGGCTGAGTAATATTCCATTATATATATATTCTACATCTTCTTTATCCATTCATCTATCTGTTGGACATCTGGGCTCTTTCCATAGTTTGGCTATTGTGGACATTGCTGCTATAAACATTGGGGTGCAGGTGCCCCTTCGGATCACTATGTTTATATTCTTTGGATAAATAGCTAGTAGTGCAATTGCTGGGTCGTAGGGTAGCTCTGTTTTCAACTTTTTGAGGAACCTCCATATCATTTTCCAGAGTGGCTGTACCAGCTTGCATTCCCACCAACAGTGTAAGAGTGTTCCCCTTTCTTCACATCCTTGCCAACATCTGTCGTTTCCTGACTTGTTAATTTTAGCCATTCTGACTGGTGTGATGTATCTCATTGAGGTTTTGATCTGTATTTCCCTGATGCTGAGGGATGTTGAGCATTTTTTCACGTGTCTGGTGGACATTTGTATGTCTTCTTTGATATGTCTGTTCATGTCTTCTGCCCATTTCTTTTTTTTTTTTTTTTTTTAGATTTTATTTACTTATTTGACAGAGAGAGCGAGAGAGCACAAGCACGGGGGGCAGTAGAAGGAGAGGGAGAAGCAGGTTTCCCGCTGAGCAAGGAGCCCGATGGGGGGCTCAATCCCAGGACCCTGGGATCATGACCTGAGCCGAAGGCAGACGCTTAACCTTCTGAGCTACCCAGGCGCCCCTCTTCTGCCCATTTATTGACTGGATTATTTATTTTTGGTGTGTTGAGTTTGATAAATTCCTTAGAGATCTTGGATACTAACCCTTTATCTGAAAAGATTTTGCAAATATCCTCTCCCATTCTGTCGGTTGTCTTTTGGTTTTGTTGACTGTTTCCTTTGCTGTGCAAAAGCTTTTTATCTTGAAGTCCCAATAGTTCATTTTTTGCTTTTGTTTCCCTTACCTTTGGAGACATGTCTAGCAAGAAGTTGTTGCAGCCAAGGCCAAAGAGGTTCTCCTGTGTTCTTCTCCAGGATTTTGATGGATTCTCACATTTAGAAACTTGAAGAATTTTTAAAATTTATAATGGAATGAAAGGAAAACAAACATTTGTAGCATAAAAATGGAAACCAGATTGATCAGCTATGCAATAATTATAAGCTTACTAAATAAAATTAAGTTTAATATACTTTACAATATTTCATCAAAGTATTATTTCAGCTCACTGGTAATAATCAGTTAAATTAATCTTAACGATCTGTCACTTCACATAAGCATACATGAGCATAATGACATAGGGCTTGGTGGTTTTTTACATTGGTTTACCTTTCCGTGTTGTGTCCAGAGGAGACCAAGTTTTTGCCACCTAATTATTACAATTAAGCTGGAAAATATGATTAAGAAGATTGCCAAGGAATGATGGAAATATTCTGTATCTTGAAAGAGGTGTGGGTTACATGGATGGATCCTTTATATAGTTAAGATTGGTGCATTTCAATTTGTGTAAACATTACCTTAAGAAAAGACCTATACAAAAACATTGAGTGGGAAGTGGAGGGTGGAGGGGAAGGTATAGATGAAATGAGACAAGATCTTGTGAAGCTGGATGACGTGTAAATGGAAGTTATGCTGTTTGCTTTGTATGCGTTGAACTTTTTCCGCAAATGTTAGTGAGTTATTACTTGTGAGACAAGTTTATAAATTCAATTCAGTTCTACTCTAGCAAAGGAAAGCGAAAGAGAATAAAACAGAGAAGCACTCTCCTGAAAGAATCTAAAGTAATCAATTTCCATAAAAAGGCAGTGTCTTCACATACCAACTGATAGCCTTGGATGATACATTAAGATACTATCTTCTTCCTCTCTGTCATAACAAGTAACATTCTCAAAGACATTTCAATGTCTCAATTGAGTATCAGAGATACTGTACTGCTAGTAAAATTTGCTTTAAAGTGAAAAAGAATTCAGTAAGCTATATGTGAAGATGTCTGGTGACCCTGCAGGCAAAGAGAGTGCACAAAGGACGGCGCAGATGCCAGGGATGCCATCAAGCTGGAATTAGAATGCCCATCGAAGAAAGGAAGCACTTAGGATTGAGTTGGAAATAACTTTGTTTCAAAGAAGAAATTAAAACCATCTAATATGTTTGTGATTGCTGGTTTTACTTCATCAGTTTATCTAGTTATTCATACTCTCAAGGAAGTCTGTTCTCAGTAACATTTATCAAGTGAACCATGGAGGCTGGTCACAGTGATTTTATTTTTTATCCTTCTGGGTAGGTAGAGATGCCTTTTAACTACAAAATTATTTCATCTGTTCAGAGTTTAGACTTTATTTAGCTTTACTTATTTTACCTAGAGTTGAAACATCTTGAAAAATATCCTCAGGGCGCCTGGGTGGCTCAGTCGTTAAGCGTTTGCCTTTGGCTCATGTCATGATCCCAGGGTCCTGGGATCGAGCCCCACATCGGGCTCCCTGCTCCACGAGAAGCCTGCTTCTCCCTCTCCCACTCCCCCTGCTTGTGTTCCTGCTCTCTCTGTGTCTCTCTCTGTCAAATAAACAAATAAAATATTTTTTTTAAAAAGAAAAATATCCTCATTTTTAATCTTCCATCATTTTGGCTCTTACCTGAAGTGAACTTTGGTTGAGCTCAATTGATTTCACCTCTCAAGAAATATGAAATCAATCTGAAATGAGATTATGTTTGGCACATTTTGTGTTCTTATATGTGCACTGACCCATTTCATATATTTTGAGGATATTTAAAGACATATTTTCCTATTTATCTGAGCAGAAACTGGTGAGATAGAAATGGATATAGCCATGATGAACCATCATTGAATTCTGTGGAATCCACTCAAATGTAATTCACTGCCTTATTTGGTGTTTATTTATAATAGCAACTAGCGTCATCCTTGTTGTAGAGGATGATAGAGGTGATTCTTGAATGTTTGTATTCTGCATTGCATTATGTCTTTACAACATGGTAATATATTTGGGCCTTGATTAATTAATTAATATAGGAGGGAAATTTGATTTAAAAGTTATAATAAAATGAAAGACCCTAATAAAATCATGACCAATTCCACCCATAAAAAATGAAGTAAAATCCTAAAATGCCTACTTATGACAGACTGATTGTTGCTAGTTCCTCGTTTAAAGATTTATTTATTTATTTATTTGAGAAAGAGAGTGCAGCAGGGAGGGGCAGTGGGAGAGGGAAAGAATTTTAAGCAGACTCGCAGGGAACTCAGGAGCTCAGAGCCATCCAGGGGCTCTATTTCACAACTCTGAAATCGTGACATGAGCTGAAACCAAGAGTCTGAGGCTTAGCTGACTGTACCACCAAGGTGCCCCGCTAGTTACTCTTTTAAATAATTTGATTAATCAGATACTTCTATCATAAGTATGTGTTGGCCTCAATTTTCCTCCTAATAGCCTAATTGTTCCCCTTACTGTGCAGGTGTAACCACAAAATAAGTTAAGTCTGTTGTTCATGCCATTTTATGAGCCATATAACTTAGAGAAATAATTGTTTATTTTATAATTGGTGTTGCTAGCCAACTTTTACATTTTGTATAGTTTATTGACTTGTTTGTTGGGACGATTAAATAGTGTACTTTTTGGATTCACAAATCACACTACTCATCAGAGATAAATTTCACTGCCAAAGAATAAAAATTGATTATAGGAAGTTTACATTACCTGAGGGTGTGATTCTTAAACATTAGTATGCATGAGAATCACTTAAAGAGAGAGACTGAAGTGCAGATTTTCAGCCCTTAGCACCACCAGAGAATTTCATTCAAGGTCTGGAGGGAAATCCAGGAGTCAACCTTGAAAAAAACAACTCAGACTCCTAAGTAATTATTTATGCATATGGTTCACACACTACAATTTGAAAAACACTGAAAGTCTTTATAAGGCTCAGATTTTGGAAATGGTATTGCCTGTATGCACCTCCTGAAGTTAATAATTTGAACGCGTGGTGGCAGTGCAGGCTAAGAGAGTGAATAAGAGCTCTGCAGATTCGGTGGACTCCATTTTACTCAGAAGCCCCCCAAAATACGAACACATTTACAGCCGAAGCTAAGATAGTAGTATTCAGGAAGGCACTCGTCACCAGACAAGTTACAAGACGAATTCGAAATTCAACAGTAAAGACATTTCGGAGGGTCGGCAGTGGACTTGATGATGGGGACTGGAAAAAGATTTTTTCCTCTGGGATCAGACATAATGGAGATGGCGAGAACAAAAGTACATCGCAAGAAAAGGCAAGTGGCAATTCTCATTATATGGGTGCTTTTGTGGGAAGCCGGTTCAGAATCGATTCAATATTCTGTACTGGAGGAGTCAGAAACTGGCACGTTTGTGGCCAATTTGACAAAGGACCTGGGACTCAGGAGAGGAGAACTGGCTGCGCGGGGTGCCCAGGTTGTTTTCAAGGGGAACAGACAGCATTTGCAGCTTGACCCAAAGACCTATGATTTACTGCTAAATGAGAAACTGGACCGGGAAGAGCTGTGCGGCTCCACTGAGCCATGCGTGCTACCTTTTCAAGTGTTACTGGAAAATCCCTTGCAGTTTTTTCAGGCTGCTTTACGAGTCAGAGATATAAATGACCACGCCCCAGAGTTCCCAGCCAGAGAAATGCTACTAAAAATATCAGAAATTACTACACCAGGAAAGCTATTTCCTTTGAAAATGGCACAGGATTTAGATGCTGGTAACAACAGTCTTCAGAGCTACATAATCAGCTCCAATCCTCATTTTCACGTTCTCACTCGCAATCGCAGCGATGGCAGGAAGTTCCCGGAGCTGGTGCTGGACAAAGCCTTGGACCGCGAGGAGCAGAGCGAGCTAAAGCTTACCCTCACAGCGGTGGATGGTGGGTCTCCGCCCAGGTCTGGGACCACGGAGATTCAGATCCTGGTCTTGGACATCAATGACAATGCTCCCGAATTTGCTCAGGAACTCTATGAGGCACAAATTCCTGAAAACAATTCCCTGGGCTCCCTGATTATCACCGTCTCAGCGACAGATTTAGATGCAGGATCCTTTGGGGAGGTATCTTATGCCCTATTTCAGGGAGATGACATTAATCAACCCTTCGAAATAAACGTAATTACAGGAGAAATTCGACTGAGAAAGACTTTGGATTTTGAGGAATTTCAATCATATCACGTGGATATTGAGGCTACAGATGGCGGGGGACTATCAGGAAAATGCTCTTTAATCATCAAGGTTCTGGACGTAAATGACAACACTCCTCAACTGACCATGTCCTCACTCATCAGTCCCTTCCCCGAAAACCTGCCAGAGGTCATAGTAGCAGTTTTCAGTGTGTCAGATGCAGATTCTGGGCAAAATCAACAGGTTATTTGTTCTATAGATGATAATCTCCCCTTTCTTCTAAGACCATCAGTCGAAAATTTCTACACCTTGGTAACTGAAGGAGCGCTGGACAGAGAGAGCCAGGCCGAGTACAACATCACCATCACCGTCACCGACCTGGGGACCCCCAGGCTGAAAACCCAGCACAACATAACGGTGACGGTGTCCGACGTCAACGACAACGCCCCGGCCTTCAGCCAAG